CAACAGCAGCACCAGCACCAGCACCAACACCAACACCAACACCAACCACAACAACAACAACACCAATATGAAGAAGACGAAAAAGAAGCAGAAGCATAAGAAGAAGACGAATAAGAAGAACGGTAACGGCAACGGCAACAGCAACAGCAACAACAACAACAACAAAAACAACAACAGCAACAACAACAACAACAGCAACACCAACAACAACACCAACACCAACAACACCAACCACACCAATAACACTGACACCACCACCACCACCACCACCACCAAAAACAACAACGACAAGAAAAAGTAGCAGCAACAACACATACAGCAACAACCGCAACAAACAACCGCAACAACCAGCGATCCATGGTGCCGCCGCAGCAGCCACAGCAGCCTCGTCCAACTCTGCCATTGTGTTGTATGCGCCCTCCAGCCTGAACAACGACAATGATGACCATGACACTGATTAATCAACAGCAACATTGAATTAAGAAGGCTGAGGAGAGACAAGGACACTGACATGAAAAACATGATTGGTATGACAATGAAGTTGCCGCCACTGACTGCCAGATTTGTTTGCCCATGCTGCCAGCATACTGTGCGGGATCCAAAGATCCTTGTGAAGGTGTTGTGCTCAAAGACCGGCAGCAGTGTGTCGACTCGGCCATCCATCACAAACCACTGAAGCATGGCGTCCATATCCTCATGCCAGAGTTTGCTCAAAGAGGCAATGAAGGGGCAAACTTCACTTCCGGCAGCCTCGGCGTTCAAGAACAGACTAAAAGGAAAAGTAGACATTGAGAAGATGTCATCCAAAATAAGAACGAAACCAACAAATTTTTTGCTCAACAACTAGGAACTGAAGGATGACGCACATCCGGAGCACAACAGCGGAGGTGCGGTGGTAGCCGGCAGTGCAGTTGATACTAGGCTTGGCACCACATCAGAAAACAAGGACTTGCAAAACGTGGCCATTGTTACTTTATTACTCAGACTAAGTCCTGTTTTCCCCCCAAAATTTTCTGTTGCACTCTAGTAGCAAGATGACATCCGCTGGTGAACATAGAATGCGATCCAACACAGCCTTGAACTTTGGGTGGTTCAAGACGTCTTTGAACACTTTCTCCGCCAGCTCCGCTCTTCATGAAGGGCTGATCCGGCCTAGTCTTTGTGACAAGGTGCTGCACACAGACAAACACCAGCTAGGCACGCGCGGGATATGGTTAATACAGTACTACGCATTATTGCACAGTATCACGCATTCTTATTATACGCTATTCTACATGATTACACATTCTCATGCATTGTGATAGAATAGGATGCAGTGTGATACATTGTGATCTATAGAATCTACATATATACATATGCATCTCTGCCTATATATAGTTACATATTTGACATACAAACCCTAAACCCTAAACTCTAGGAGTTTGCTTGGGTTGTGGACCAGTCTCTTGTTTTGACGGCGTGATGGCGGATCCGAAGACCACTGTAACGCTCGCCGCGGATTCCAACCAGGCCTTGGGATTCCTGGGTATGAAATCATAATAGTAATGATAATGATGATAAGGGTTTAGGGCTTAGGGCTTAGGGTTAATAATGAGAATAACAATAAATACTAATAGTAACCAGGCCTTGGGCATTGCCCAGTATGCGTTGGACTTCATCGGCGGCAAGTATGGCGACAACATCGATGCCAGCGTCTGGGAGAAGATTGAGCAGTTCCATACGGATTCTGTGATGTGCGGGATCTCCGCACTCGCCATGAAGTGCAACTCCCCCACGGTCTTGCGCGAAGAGGCCCTGAGCTACAAGGATGACGAGGGTGCGACGGTGTTCGGCAGCAAGCAGAAGTGTGCTCCTGAGAAGGCCGTGGTGGCAAATTCGGCAGCGGCGCGAGAGTGGGATTCCAACGGAACCGTTTTTGGCTACAATCCCAACATCCCGGGTCACCAGGCTGGAGAGTTTGGCCACAACGACTTCTACGGGGTCGTCATTGCTGCGGCTCAGGTGACGGGGAAGGTCACTGGCAAGACCGCCCTCCGCGCCATGATTTGTCTCGATGAGATTCGCGGCCGTCTCGCAGAAGTCTTCAGCCTTAAGAGCTACAAGTTGGACCATGTCATGCATGGTGCGATCGCGTCCGCAGCGGTCTACGGAGCCTTGCTGGGAGCCACGGCCGAGGAGATCGAGAGCGGAATCGGCATGGTGGTTGCGCACTATGTACCCTTCCGTGCCATCCGGGCAGGGAAGCAGCTTTCGGATTCGAAAGGCGGGGTTGTGGAATAGAGATGGGGGGGGTTCGCCTGGAAAAACGATAAGAAGAAAACATGCATAATGTCGAATTCTATGATTCTGGCAAGTTCTGATTCTGACAAGTGCAGGAAGGCAGTAGCGGCCCTTTCGCAAAGCTGACACGCTAGTCCTACAGATTTCCAAGTTTCTGCAAAGACCACGAGTGTCCCCAACGTTAGAAAACAAGGGCGCTAGTAAAACCAACATCAGTTCATGGTTGAGGGTTTAGGGTTGTCGGGTTTAGGGTTTAGGGGTTTTAGTGTTTAGAGTTTCCGGGTTGAGGGTATGCCTCCACGTCTAGTACTGAAGTTATGCTATCATGATGATAGTTGGAAAACGATAAGAAGAAGAGTGAGCACAACGCCGAAAAAGAGTAGCAAGTGGATGCGTGGATTTTTACACAACCCCAGGGGACATCTTTTTCTACAGCCCCAGGGGATATTACATATGTAAATATATATTCTCTCTCTCTCTCTCTCTCTATACGACTATAAAAACTATATATACTATATATACTCACTATATATACTATATATATATATACTATATATTCTGTATATACGATATATACTATATATATATATATACTATATATACAATATATTCTATATATACTATATATACTATAAATACTATATATACTATATCTACTACATATACTATATATACTATGTATACTATATATACTATACATACTATGTGTACTATATATACTACATATACTACATATACTACATATACTACATATACTATATATACTATGCATACTATATATATATATATATGTTATACTATATGTACTATATATATATATATACTATACTATACTATACACGCTATATATCCCATATGTACTCGAAAAACTATAGTATATATACTAGACATATACTATTACTTACACACACACACACACTACAACCCCAGGTGCCTCTGCAGCCATCTCGACGGAGGCAGCGGTGCTTTCCATGCGTCGTGCCATGCGCGGTTTCGTGGGCCCCCGTGACATCTTCCGCAACCCCGAGAGCATCTTCAGGCTTTAGGGCTTAGGGTTTTTAGGGGTTAGGGTTTAGGGTTTAGGGGTTTAGAGGTTGGGGTTTAGGTTTTAGGGGTTAGGGTTTAGGGTTTAGGGCAGGTTTTTCGAGCCCACCACGGGCGTGACGCAGAACAAGGACAGTATTGACATCACCTTGGGCAACAAAGTTCGCTGGGGGCAAGGCCAGAAACACTAAACCCAGAACCCTGAACCCAAAACCCTGAGCCCTAAACCCTAAAGGCCCCAGCCCCTTCAACCTGGTCTTGACGCACTCGGGCTCCGACTTCGCCGTGTGCGGCATGCACTTTAAGATTGGTCTCTACGAGCATCAGTCCGCTGGAGCACTGCACGGTGCCGTGCCTTTGTCATAGTTGGGTAACATTTTACATGTTCAAGGGTACTTAAACCCAATAGGGAATGATAGTCTGAGTTTTTAATATTATCCCAACCATGTAAGGTGCAGCTGGTCGCCGACAACGAGGAACTCTGCACCAAGGGCTTGGACAGCATCGAGGGGATTTCAATTGTGGCCTACGAGCCAGCCTTCGGCATCATTGGTGACCCAGCGAAGAAGGATCCAAAGACGCGACAGTCCGCAGACCACTCCATGGCCTTCATCGTTTCGCGCATGTTGCAGAAGGCGGTTGCCAAGGGCAAGAAGCCCCCCAGTGTGCAGGCGGCCTGGAACGATCTCATGCTCACCCCCTATGACTATGGCAAGGATGCGCTCCATGACGCGACAACGCGTGCCCTCATGCAGAAGATCACTTTCAAGCACGGCGGCCCTGAGTACGATGCCAAGTACCCCGATGGTATTCCAACCTCAATCGACATCACGATGAAGGGCGGCAAGAAGTTGTCCAGCGGACTCGTGATGTACCCACCAGGCCACGCGAGAAACACCACCGCTGACCTCAAGGGGTTGTTGGCCACCAAGAACAAGATGCTGGGTGACTTGGTTTTCAAGGATGAGACGTCGTACAAAAAGTTCCTCGAGCCATTGATTAACATGAAGAATCTCCCCGCTGCGGCCATGCAGGACATCTACTCTTTTGATTTCTCCGACATAAGGGAGCACAAGTGCATCGACGGTGATCTCCCCGTGGTCCCGCCTCTGAAGTCCCGTCTTTGAAGTGGCGGCGTTTGGTGTAGATGGTGTAGGGAGTAGCTGAGCCCTTACCGCGCCCTAAAGCGGCACCCTTTTGAAGGCAGAGGCCGAAGATCACGACCCAAGGGGGTTGTCCGATCCTCTTCCTCTCTTGGCAGGGCCTGGAGGTGCAGACGAGACAGAGTAAAAATGGTAATGTCCGTAGTCATAGTAATAGGCGTAGTCACCGTAATCATATTAACAGGCTAATAGAAGCAACAATAATGATACAAGAACAGTAATAGTAGCTAAAGTTATTGTTCTAATGGTATTCGCAGCAATAACAGGAATATGCTGTCTTGATTGGGATGCCAGGGTTTACGGATCAGGGTCTGCAGTCGGATTTGGGGTTTATGGCTTGCTATCTAGGGTTTTGTTTTTTTTTGGGAGTTGGGGTTAAGGGGTTTTGGCGTTTAGGGACGTTTAGAGACTTTCGATGTAGAGTAGGGTGTTATTGGAATAGGGATAAGTGCAGGGCGGGTATAGCCCGGATCCATTGCCCGGCACCCCCCCCCCCCCCCC